AGAAAGGAGGAAGTACTTGGGAGCATAAGATAAGGTACAATGAATACAAAACCGATGTCTTCGGAGCTGAATCTAGGTCACGGTAGCTCACTACCTTCAGTCCGAGCGCAGCGGGTGCTAGGAGCTATCCCAGCCAACCCAGCGTGGAGAGAGTGTCATGTGTGCGTCGCTCTGCTCAACCGGCAGGTCACGGGATTTTCTCCCGGCGCTGGATCGGCTGGAATATGTTTAGGGGTCAAAAGCGCTAAAAACGACGGACGAGTAGGAGAGACACATACCGCAGAGCGCTACTTGCAGCTGGTTTAATGTTGGAAAAACACACGTACCGCGAAACCAACAAGACACACATCCGATTCAGTTCCAACCGCCGCTTATCACATTTCGTACTCTTACACCGTGCATGATCGTAAAACGATAACTCCGATTCAAACAGGGTTATCGATGGGGCACTTACACACGCACCTTCGTCACACTCGGAAATAAAAAACGCTTCCGTTATCTCCCTTGTCTTTCTATTTTTGTTTCGTGCCAAGATCACGGTATTGTCTATATAGGGTAAACACTCACACCTATTGGAATGCACCGCGAGATTGCCAGAGGGGGCTGACCTCAATGACAGGGCATGTTCTCTCAGTCTTTCGTTTACGCATCGCCCCGACTGCCCCACGTATACCCTCCCACAAGACAGAGGAATTCTGTACACAACCCCCACGCTGCATCCTACGTATTTTGTTGCGTGCTTTTTCTGACAGATATCTACCCGTGTGTCACTTCGTTCCACCCTCCCACATAGCTTGCTTAATTTCTGTGGAGCTGAAAGGAGAACCGAAATGTCATGCTTTTCCCCCACCTTTTCTATGTTATGGCTAACGTTATGTATATATGATATCACCACTGGTCTCTTATCTGGCTTGCCGTTCCCTTCCCTCTTCCCCCCTCCACGAAACTTCTTTAGCAAGCCCTCTACCACCCCCCTACTATCCCCACAGGGGAAACCTCCCTCCTACAGCTTCCTCACTTGTAACCCAAAGCTGTCGGCTATGCTGCGCGTACAAGACTTGGTTAAGGCCGCGTTCAGGCAAGTTGTGGCTATCCCCCTCTTAATAACCTTGGAGTAATTAGAGTCATAAAGCAAAACACTTTTTTTTTTTTTTGCCCTAGGACAGTATGGCCAACATACATGCGACGGGAGAAGTGCCAACTTCAGATCCAAAAACTGCAAACCACCCTCCACCGGGTTCTCACTTGTGAAACTCAAGCCCGAGGCGCTAGTTTTGAAAATCTCCAACATGTCTGACACGGGAGGCCCTCACTTGATCGAATGACGTTTTAGCGAACGCCCACGTTTCACCGAATGACACTTTAGCGAACAGTCAGACGCCGCGAAGCGGCGTTTTCGGGTGGGCCAAATGGGTTCACATTTTTGTAATGAGCCGCCGCAGACTGTCGCCAGCGAAGCGGCGTAAAGCGCAGCGCGGCGGATGGGTTAACACGCGCCCCCGTTATTCGCTAAAACGTCGATTCGCTCAAATGTCACTGTTCGCTAAAATGTCATTCGCTCATGTGACATGGACCCGTCTGACACAGACACCGCCCTTTCTGACTCCACTTTTTTCCGGAACAGAACAAGGTAGTCATCTACAAATCTGAACACCTGGACGACTCCCTCCCTCCAATCTATTCCTAATCTCCCTATCACACTTTGCTAAGTACAGATCACTTAACACTGGAGCCACACTCGCACCAATACACACACCTTGCTTCTGCACAAGTTGTACGTCTCTAAAAACAATATATGTGGATTCCAAATAAAAGCCCAGCAACTCTAGAAAACCTTCCGTGGCAACCCCATGCACATTGATTTTGGAACTTGACCTCCCCAAACACCTCAATGGCCTCACAAAGAGACCGTCATGTGGGATAGAATAAAAAAGTTTTCAACGTCAAATGACACCGCATCGCAGGCACCAGGGTTAGAATATGTCAGAAAATCCACCACACTTTCTGAATTGTCCACCCTGAAAGGATCGTTCAAGTGAAGCTGGGAAAGGTGACGCTGAAGTTACGATGACATCTGCATCTGCCACGACCCCCTCTGTGTCACAACAGCCCTAAACGGCATGTCTACTTTATAAGTCTCTACTGTTAAAAAAAAAAAAAAAAAAAAAAAAAATTAGGTTAAGATTTTTAGCCCGTATGATCGACGCTTTTAAACTGTCCAGACTCAAGTTCTGGCACAGTTCAACAGCCCTCTTTTTTACCCTCGCGAGGGAAACCTTCTTTGCTTCCTTAAAATTCTTCTCTATTGACTGCTTGCCCTTAAATAAAAAAAAAAAAAAAAAAAAAAAATGGAATAGCTTGTGGCGTTTACTGCGCTCAGACTGAAGGTGGAACGGAGTATAATAGGCAATAGCGTCACGCCCACGCATCTTCTCACAGAAAATCCCTGAAAGCGGGAATCCGGAAGGGGTAAACTGTCGCTTTCTGTACAAGCTAAAGTGTCTTTCGCATATCTACACTAAACCAAGCAGAAAAAAAAAAAAAAAAAATTGCCGCGTTAGGATTTGAAGTAGCTAAAAAATAGCCACATAACCAAGTGCGAAATTTCGACCCAATTTGGCTATTAATAGCCCATTTTGGCTATTAATAGCCCATCCTGGTAACCCTGGTCATCTCGTTACGCGGATTCACGTCTTTCTTCGTTACCGCGTTGAGCCGCCGGTAATCTACGCAGAATCGAAGCGTTCCGTCCTTCCTTTTCACCAGATACGACTGGAAAGGCCCACAGGCTGCTTGACTGCTGGATGATGTCGCCTTTGAGCATTTCTTGGACTTGGCCTCGGTGTCCTTTGGGTAGACCCGATACGGCGGCCGATGCACAGGGAGCGCATCCTCGTCGGTAACGATGCGATGTTTCGCAACTGTTGTCTGGCGCACCTTCGACGTCGTCGCAAAGCAGTCACTGAATTCGGCGAGGATCGGTCTCTGAGCTGTCGTCGTTCCGTGCCGCAAAGCTTGCGCCAGTAGCATTTTTCTCGATCATGCACGCGGCAATATAAAACCGTTCTTCTCTTATGACGTTTACTCTGCTGCTGGTCTGGGGAATGACTGTAAGGTATGGCGACACTTCTGGCCAGTCTGGACCTATACCTCACCACCGAGAGATGGTAATTGTGAAAACACAAACTTATCCATCTTACAGTGCCGTCGGCCGGAGTCCCGAAGCTGGGGGTGTGCGGCCATCCATGATCCATCTCAAGAATTGTGCTGGGTGCTGTAGGCGCAAGGCACAGGCGCGCACGTGGCTTACATGATGTGCGTTGGTCACGCGAGGTCTGGCGCCCGTGGTTTTGATAGTGCTGCGCGAAAACCAGTAAGATGGTGTGCAATAGAAGAAACAGGAACGGATACCTGAATGCCTCAAAGTCCGACATTGAGTCACTTTTCAGGGGCCCTAAACTCGTCAAATACAAAGTTGGAGGCAAAGTTGACGGAGCGCGCCGATTGGACGATCACGACAATGACTTCGCGTTTTTCTCGTCGACGTCCAATCGGCGCGCTCCGCCAACTTTCAGCTACAACTTTGTATTTGACGAGTTTAGGGCCCCTGGAGGGTCATTTTTATGACTGTAGGTTAATCGAATAGCGTCTAGTGTCATCCCTAGCTTTAATACTGTTAAAGGGGGACTCCGGCGAAATATTAATAATTATCAATTTTTATAAAAAAAAAATCATTTCCTTTCGAGAAAACGAATTTCTTTTGATGTTTACGCGAACACTTCGGAATCGCTGGCTGATGCTCTACCGGCAACAACGAGCAGAGGCGCTCGTGACGTATCCGAGAGCAGACGACGTTCCTTTCTCCACGCCGCTGTCCGTTGGCAGTTGCATAGTGATAGCGAGCGTTTCCTTTGCATTTCGCAGATTGTGTCTGGTTCGGGCTATTTTTTGGCATGCGATGAAGGGTGGGGAGAATCGGTGATGTGCTATAGGGTGCAATAACGCCTCGAAGAAAAGCAGCAGAGTGACATCTCATCGGTTTCCGACCGAGAAAGTGCCTCTGCGACGGAAGTTGGTGCGAGCAGTCCGACGCCAGCGCCGTCTCCTAGCGTTCACGTCGTGCTGTAAAACAGTTTGCACCGTGCTAGCAAACAAAAACAAAGCATTTCATGCCATGCTGCTCAGAAGCAGATCGCAAATGCAGCCGCCACGGGTGGTCTCGAAGCGGAACCGGCGGACCAAATGCGAACGGTGAATATCTCGTACTGAAAACCTTTTAACATTTGCTGGTCATTGCTTCACTCAGACAAGCTTGATGAATCGTAGTCAATTATTTCCCACGGACGATCTTGACGACCTTTTGACGGCTTTTAACGCCCGGCGAATCGGGGCTGCCCATGTGTTGATGTTCATACAACATATGACGGCACAACAAGACGTCAAAACCAGTAAAATTGCAGGTTAGTTTCGGTTTTCAGTTTATATTTAGTTCAAATATATATATTTAGTTCAAAACGTTCAAGTTGATGCCGGTTTAAGAAAGCCACGACATCCGGTTTAAGGAAACTTGCCGTGGTTTTTCCTTCCACTGGGAAGGTTATGAATGGTGTAGTGGAATTCTATTCGAGAATGGGGCTTTTATCACTAGTAACTTCAGCCGTGCAGAAACAGTATTGGACTATAAATTACGCTGCGATGTTCATTCCGAGCCATTCGCACATTGATGCGTTTTAGAGAACTATTTGTGAGAGCGACCCTGTTCCAACGGGCGTTGTAAGACAGCTAGTAAAATTTGGAACAAGATATGACCGTAGAAGGCTAGTTAGAAGTTGCAGGAGTTTACCGGTGCGGATACCGAATTGATGATGCATTCAAGAATAAAGGCGATGCAGTTTCGCAGCTTTCCGATTTGACAGACACTGAAACGTCAAATATGGGGGAAAAAAAAGAAAAAAGAAACAGAAACGGGACGAATCAAAAGAGACGACACTCAATTAGTTTAAAACGTAAACAGACTTTTTCAATGTTTATTTACAATCGATTTTTACAGTAACATACGTACAATCTTACGCTCGTCGAACTCCTACTATATACACACTTTACAGTGATATTTCATTCGGCAAACAGTCTCTCTGACTAGCATGTGTGTCCCGACACACGACATATATCTGCCTCAAAACAGTTAAGCTGAACTCAAACGACCGAACATTAAGTCCCCGATACCGTGCATGCACTGTCTTTTACAAATAGCGACGAAACAACAGCGAAACACATTTCGGGACAAGGGCATATGCGCGATGTCTTCAACTTCGTTCACCTGTTGCCATGTTCTTCTCGAAAATCTGCAGCTCCGTCGCGCTACACGCTCGTCGGCTCCTGGGGGTAATAACACATATAAGACAAGGCCTGCCCATGACGTCATCGCTAGTGGACCCCCGACCCGCCCCAATCTGCAATCACGCATAAGCACGGCTGCCTCTTTTGCAAGGGCTGTGGTGACGTCAGAACGCCGAGCTCGGAATGGCTCTGATTGAAGGATAGTGGGTAGACCTCAAGGCAGCTTGCTTTGAGGTCTACCCAAAATGCTTAGATCAGAGCCAATCAAAGCTCGGCGTCGTTCTGACGTCACCACAAGTCTTGCGCAAGAAGCAGACGACTTGCTGTCCGCATACGTCTGGTAGGGTAATATATACCCAATCTAAAATGCACCTACACAAAGACGAAAATTAAGAATGGTCCGTGAGGAGTCAGACTTTTTTTACTACGGTTCTTGAGGTGAACATTAGTGTTGTTAGAACGTGTTGGGGGAAATAAGTCTTGTCTTTTAGGCGGTATTAGCAGAGCCCGCCTTTTATCTAGAAACCTATTCCGACAACCATGAAAACCGACAGCAATGCGGGATATATGGCATAGGACTTTTTGAGGTTGGGTGTTTTTTTGTGCACCACCCACTGAAAGAGCTTTTAAGCAGGGTAGCGAGATGTTTCTGTGTGTAATCTACAATATCAAAAAATTACTCCTGATATGTGATACTGCACACAATGTTTCGTTGGGATGATATAATTAATGGCATAAAACTTCCGACGTCGGAAATAAGAACAAGCAACTCCAGACCTAACGATCAGTATGAAGAAGGCCATGAAGGGAAGTGAAAACCATAATAGAAAAAAAAAGTTTGAATACAAAAACGGTACCCTGTGGCATATGCATGACATTTTGTTGGAGTCATCTATTAAAAACAGAATATCACGGGAATAAGCCGCTCTAGGTTGAAGACAACAAACATGCGCAGGGTTAATAGCTTGCAAGGCACGAAGAATTACTCTCACTCTTTTAGCTCAAGTTTCAAGTCTCGGGACGACTTTTCGTGTTCACATGAGCTGATGATTGTATATATGTTCCTGATGTTTGACTCGAGGCGGAACCTGTGTTACGGAAACAAGGCTAAGACCGTGATCATGGAAAATCTCGACACTTGCTAGGTGCCTTTGACTCGCGTCTTGCCAGTGTACGATCTGATGTAGAATCGCATGAACATGACAAAGTAAAAGATGACCTGACTCGAGATGATAAGTTGGTGGACTGCCGGAAAGCCACAATCCACGAACGTTGGAACCATGGAGTGAACAAAAATGAGAACGAACTGCACGAGCTGCAGCTGAGTGAGGTAACGCTTCCACCATAGGTGCCTCTGGACCGCAGGCCCGAGCAAGGAGAGGAAATAGTACGTGTACATGACGACGTGGATGGAACTATTGATGAGCAGACAGAACACCGTCTGCCCGTCGGAGCCGTACGTGACGCCGAACCAGCCGCTGAAGACAACCAGGACGTGATGGGCGACGTGAAGCAGGGACACGTGGGAGTCCTTCTTGCGTAGGACGAAGAAGAAGGTGTCCAGAAAGTCGGCGATCCGGACGAGCAGGTACCACCAGTTCAGGTTGATGAGTTCCAAGTGCAGCTGCGAACGGCTGTAGTCGAGGCCCTGGCAGAACCAGTTGTAGCCGCCGCCAAAGTACGACCTCTTGCCGATATGGTAGATGAAGAAGACGTTGGCCAGCACCATGAACAGGTTGTGGGCCATGATGAAGGGCCGCAGGTTCTGCAGTGGCTGGCGGCCCTTCATGAACCTCGGCCCCGCGACTTTTACGAGGTACACGTAGCTGACGAGGAGGACGGAGATGAACGGTACATTGCCTGCAAGGGGCCAGTTCTTAGTCCTGGGGTCCCGGACGAGCTGAACCTGGCCATTGAAGAGTTGGGACACAAGGTTGGACATGTCTGGTTTACGGGCTGGCGGCCTGGTGGAATGGTCATTTCCGGAGGGGGGCATCTTTTATTTATAAGAGTGGTTAGTGTTGGGGGCGGGGGCTTGGGGACTTGGCGTGACTGTCTCACCTCGGCGACAGGAAAAAGTATACAGGCTTAATGGCTCGCTGGACTCTGGATCGAGTTCGACCTTGAAGACGCCGCGACCAAACGTCTCAGTGAATTCTTCCTCATGGCGCCGATTGTTTTCCTTGTTCGTGCAATTGATTGTGACGGGGGTCTAATTTGCCGCCTGCAGTAGTGTATACGTGTTTTGCGGGAAGCTCCCTTGCCCTCTTGCGTCAACTGTGCATTGACGGTGGCGGGTGGCGTCATCGGAACATTACCGTCGCGTATAGCCTCGCGTGTTTTATTGAATGTGCGTGGCATGAAACCGTTGGTAAAGAAAGAAACCTCTACTCGTCCTCTCTTGAAATGACGTAGGCGAGTGCCGAAGAGTATAGGAACAAAACGGGTGGCGATAATGCGTACATACACTGGCTGGGGTCAAAAAGTTAGATTCGTTATGCGGAAATTGAAATAGCAGGGTGTTCTTTTACATTCTGTAGATAAAAAAAAATTCAGTTATACTGTTGGGCTTTGTGCAGGTTACAGGCGGGCATTCGATGAGGATAATCTACGCAGTAAGTTGAATAATTAGTTAATAATTTTTTTAATTATTGCTTAGATAGGTCATGTTTCAGTTGTAGTATCAGTGACAACTACTATTTGAGGTTGAACCATTTAATTTGTTTGTTCTTTTACACGATGCAAAACGTATCGACATACATACGCAGAAAAACTGGCGCGAGCTCTAGAATCACGCGTAGAAGCCTTGACGTCATTTCCTCAGCAGGTTGCCGTCGATGCATTCACAAAGCACCCTCTGCCAAAAGTCCTTACGTCACTCTTCTAAGCGTCAAAGTCCCTACGTCACTCTTCTAAGTCCCCCAAAGTCCTTACGTCATTCCTGTAAGCGTCATTGTTGGCAGGGCAGGACTTCAGACACTCTTTCTGTGTCCAGACTTGAAATTGGCCGACAAAATCGCGAATACTGAGTAGTCATTACTGCGATTGCAACGGGACTAATTAAGCCATTAATACAGAAGTTATTTGCCAGATTCTAATTAATTATAGAAGGTATTGTGACGACTATTCCCCATATGTCCACCTGGCCGCATAATTCACCTGAACAGATCGCACTGGTCTAGCTTTCACGGCTTCTGTACAAAAGTACAAAAACAACAAGAAAACAACCTGAATATTATCAGAAAGAGGAGATCTTTAATTTTGCCGTAGATGCTGGGAAATAGGCAAAACATTTCAGATCGGGTGGATCCTATAGCTTCTTCAGTTGGCTTCAAACGTTTTCTTTCACTGCGGTGTTATATTGGCCGGGAAGAAGGAAAAAGAAAAACATCTAAAATACTTACTGTGCTTTGTTCATCGCTAACCTGACAGTGTGGTGGGAGCTACGTGCCCACCGGACCAATCGTACGTCAATCTATCGTCACGTGATCACGATCCCGTCCATACACCCGCGCAGAAAGTGGGACCCGGCGATGAATGGGAGGCGGATGATCGGTCCGGCGCACGCCTACTTCTCACCGGATTGCTATATACTAAATAAAAATCTTGCTTTTTATTCGAGACGATTAGAAAGATAATATGTATTTGTGGTAAACTAAATTTAGGACATTAAGTGGATATTTTGGCAAGAACTGGTTTACCAACAATAGGTGGTGTCTGCGCCAGCGAACGTCAGTATAACAAAATTAAGTGATTTTACTTCAAATCGGGCAGGCAAGAAAAAAATATAGAATATTAAATTTTGATTAAAAAAAAAAAACTATCAAACTTCTAGCGGCATTGCTAAAAATGTAGTAAACGCAAACTGCGATTTCGTAATTTCTTTTGCTCCGTTGCTTAGCTGTTAAATTGCGCTTTCGAAGTTTTTGTTTCCTATTGGCTGTTGGCTCCCAGGTGAGGCCTCGACGATGCATCGTTCAGTTTCTTTCCTTTCTTTTTTTTTTTTTTTAGGGGGGGGGGGGGAGGGGGGCGATAAATTGATCTAAAATTGACTTATTTTGTGGTTTTTCACAATGTCCAGCAACTTTTTAAATTGAGACAATGTCTTATATTCTGTAACTAAGAACTATATCTCTTTATTTTCCTTTATATACAAAGGAGGGAGATAGGGAAAAAAGCTGCATGACTTACAGCCTCACCAGGCCCTACCCGGTGAGGCAGAAATTTAGCAGTAGAAACATTTTAGACAACTCAAGCAACAAACAAAATAATATTAATAATAGCTTTATTTACCATGTATAAGCATGGTGGGGGCTGAGGAAAAAAGCTGTCCAAGCAGCTTGACTGGTCCTCAGCCCCCGTCAGGTACATACAGTGGCGAGAAAGACATTTAAAAGAACACAAGAAATGATATAATAATACAAGGTACTTTCATCATAACAATGAACAACAGACAACTACCAGCAATACATCAAACAAGAGTAACACTTGCCTATAAAAGAAATCGGGAAGTTGTACACAAGGAAGGGAAAACTATCTAAAATATTCTAAGATGCTTTTACACACACTATATATATATATAATACATATATAAACACAACACACATATACATACATATGCATACATACACATATATACACACACATATACTATATGGGTGTTTTCATCTCAAATCAGGGTCTAATTTTTAATTTTCACGAAAAAAATATATGTTTTGGGGGTATTTCTCAAATGAAGGAGGGCGCAAACCGCATGTTCTCCCGAATTTTTGTTCTCGAGTTACGAGCCGTAGAAGCCGCAGTGGCAGAAACTAGTGTTTTTGCCTGCCGTCGCAGGTCGCGTGTTTAACACCCTCTGCTGACGCTATTGTTTTTTCTACACCCTTTTAACTTTTCCCTCTCATTTAATAGGTATTATAAAGATACCTTGATGTATTCAAATATTTTTAGGAGTTCGATTGTATTCTAAAACACATGTCAAACTCGTCACTCCCGTCGCTTTTCGGTCAAATTTGACAGGTCATTACTTTGTCTGTACTTAAGGTAAATTTTCTTTCTTTGGCTCTACAGAAAGCCCAAAGCAAGCCCATTATAGATATAATAATATCATTATGATCTGTCGACTAGCCGCTCCGCTACCTTCACGTAAACGTTGTAAAAATAACAAATATTGAAAGTTTGAGGTCGATTTTCTCAAAAACCCCATTTTTGTAAATTTTTATTTTTAAAAAATTTTTAGGCATATTAGTCGACTACAAGAAAAACCAGTCTAGAAATGTAATATTTCGGTTGTATGTCCTCGGTTTGAGCCGCAATCGCGTGAAATGTGTGAACATTTGTTATTTTTCACAACGTTTACGTGGAGGTAACAGAGCGGCTACTCAGCAGATAATAATGATATTATTATATCTATAATGGGCTTGCTTTGTGCTTTCTGTAGAGCCAAAGAAAGAAAATTTACCTTAAGTACAGACAAAGTAATGACCTGTCAAATTTGACCGAAAAGCGACCGGAGTGACGAGTTTGACATGTTTTTTTAGAAAACAATCAAATTCCTAAAACTATTTGAATACATCAGGGTGTCTTTATAATACCTATTAAATGAGGGTGAAAAGTTAAAAGGGTGTAGAGAAAACACTAGCGCCAGCAGAGGGTGTCAAACACGCGACCTCCGACGGCAGGCAAAAACACGAGTTTCTGCCAATTCGGCTTCTACGCTTCGTAACTCGAGAACGAAAAATCTGGGGAACATGCGGTTTGCGCCCTCCTTCATTTGAGGAATGCCCCCAAAAAAACATATACTTTTTTCGTGAAAATTAAAAATCAGACTTTTTTAGTCCGCCCGACTTGAGATGAAATTTCCCATATCGGGCAGGCTAAAAGGGTCCAGCTTTTAATTTGCACGAAAAAAAAAATGTTTTAGGGGGATTTCTCAAATGAATGAAAGCGCAAATCGCATGTTCCCCAGATTTTTTGTTCTCGAGTTGCAAAGCGTAGAAGCCGCAGTGGCAGAAACTAGTGTTTTTGCCTGCCGTCGCAGGTCGCGTGTTTGACACCCTCTGCTGGCGCTAGTGTATTTTGTACATCATTTTAACTTCTCCTCCTCGTTTAATAGGTATTATAAAAATACTTTCACGTATTCAAATATTTCTAATAGTTTGATTGTTTTCTAAACAGCATGTCAAACTCGTCACTCAGGTCGTTTTTTGGTCAAATTTGACAGGTCATTACTTTGTCTGTACTTAAGATAAATTTTCTTTCTTTGGCTCTACAGAAAGCCCATAGCAAGCCCATTATAGATAAAATAATTAGTGATGGGACGAATCACCGGAGATTCGGATTCGGACAGATTCGGAAATTTCCGAACTTTTCGCGACGAATATTCGGCAGATTCGGAGATTCGTCAGATTCGTCGCTGGATGCAGGCGGCAGCATGAAGCTTGTCGTAAACCTCGCGAATGCGGTCAGTTGTGCTCTTCTTAAATACTGTTCCTGCATATAACCAGATTTCGTCTTGTTTATTTCAACGTATGGTATGTACTGTACTGTCATTGTAAACCCTGGCACGCGCCCAGGTCCAGCTGAGCTGATCGGTGTGGTTGACGTAGGCCTAACCAATGCACGGTCTCGCTTTCTGTGCGGTTTCGCGGTGATCGGTAAAATGTAGCGAAACGCTGTGTATTATATGTCATCTGGCGCAACGCACAATAAATATATATTCAGGCAAAGAAATGATTCGTCTCCTTCTCCAGAGCTGCGTATGTCTGTACCTGTAAGGCGCGAGAGCGAGATGAATGTTGCTCGTCACAACTTAGGCCGCGTACTGGCACCGGTGGCAAAGAACAACTGTCGATTCTCCGTTCTCGGCACTTTATTTGATGAAAAAGAAACACAACACAGGGGTGTCCAATACAACTTCATTGTTCGGAAACAAACTCTAAATCGGAAAGCCTGCATTAACCAGGAGTTCCA